GACTCAAGGTGTGCTAAGCGTGTGGGTGCTACGCCTGGGGGTACTGAGCCTGGGGGTGCTGAGCGTGAGGGTTCTACGACTAGGGGTGCTGAGCCTGGGGGTGCTGAGTCTGGGGGTGCTGAGCCTGGGGGTGCTACGAGTGGGGATGCTGAGCCAGGGGGTGCTACGCCTGGAGGTGCTGAGCCTGGGGGTGCGGAGCCTGAGGGAGCTGGGCCTGCTCGTGTGGCGTCTGGCGGTGCTGGGCCTCGAGGTTCTCCGGGTGCTCCGTCTCAACGGGAGCCACTCTCTCCACAGGAGGTGCATGAGTGGTTTGCCCGGCGCTGGAGGCGTGCTTCTGGAGCTGGAGGTTCTTCGGCTGCTGAGGGTGCTGGTGCCACGTGTCCCGGAGGTGTTCGTACTGGGAGTAATGGAGCTGCTGGGCCTGCGGGTACTACTGGTGCTGGAGCCACTGTGTCTTCTCGTGGTCCGACTGGAGCTGGAGCTGCTGAGGGTGTTGGCGCTGGCGGTACTGGAGACGGTCCTGCTGGGGGTACTACTGGTGCTGCTGGAGATCCTGGAGCTACTCGAGCTGCTGGGGGTACTGGAGCTGGAGGTGCTGCTGGCGCTGGTGCTACCGCTGGGGGTGCTGGAGCTGTCACTGCTGTGACTGGAGTCGCTACGCGGCCTGGGCCGTACTTCGTTCCGCTCCTTGATCAGGTTCTTGGTCTCCCGCCTTCTACTGGTCCTCCTCCTCCCTTAGAGTGTCCACAGCCTGTCCCGTCACAGTTACAGTTACAGCCGGCCTCCCCACTGCCTGCTCCTTCTCCCTACACTGGTCCTACTGGAGGTCTTGCTGAGCGTCGTGAGCCTGCGTCTCGTCCTGCGTCGCCTGTCCGTGCTTCTCACGCTAGTGGTCGTGGTTCGCGTCCACGTCCTCCCCCTGTGCCTGGCACGCACCGGATGCCTCTCCGTCCGTCCATTGCTCCTCTGCATGCCCCTTTGCCTTCTCCTCCTGAGTCCTCTCTTCCTGCTCTTGCTAACCCAGAGTTGGACTCCCTTCGTGCTGCCAGTCCGACTGTCATGCGTCTCCTTGCTACTGTTGTCACTGACCCTTCCTTTGAGTGCACTGCTGCGTCTGCCCTAGTTGCTGAGCTCGTCGACTTTGCTGCTCGCTGTCGTCTAGACTACGCTGCTAGTCTTGCTGCTGCGTCTGAGTCTGTCTGTCCTCCGTCCGTCGGGGGTGAGTGTGCCCTTGGCACGGACGTCTTTGAGGACAGGCAGGAGGAGTTCGAATGTTTGGCTGCTGCTTCACCTCATCTCGTGTCCGTACTGCTTACCCCTGAGGGAGACCCGGATGCACTTGACATCCCGACTCCGCGCTCTTACGCGGAGGCGATAGAGGGTCCCTACTCCTCTCAGTGGCAGGCAGCTATGGACGCAGAGATGGCTTCCTGGAAGTCCACAGGCACCTACGTTGACGAGGTTCCCCCACCTGGGGCGAACATCGTCAGTGGCATGTGGATTTTCAGGGTGAAGCGGCCGCCGGGTTCTCCGCCTGTCTTCAAGGCGCGTTACGTGGCTCTTGGCTTCAATGAGCAGCAGGGAGTTGACTACTTTCAGACCTTCTCTCCCACCCCGAAGATGACCACTCTTCGGGTACTGCTGCACATAGCTGCTCACCGTGACTACGAGCTACACTCTCTTGACTTCAGCACTGCTTTCTTGCAGGGCAGCCTGCACGAGGAGATCTGGCTGCGCCGCCCACTTGGCTTCACTGGGACTTTTCCTCCTGGCACCCTGTGGAGCCTCCGGCGGCCAGTCTACGGTCTCCGCCAGGCACCGCGTGAGTGGCACGACACACTGAGGACTACGCTTGCGGCTCTTGGGTTTGCTCCCTCTACTGCCGACCCGTCGCTGTTTCTGCGCACCGACATTTCTTTGCCGCCGTTCTACATCCTCGTGTACGTCGACGACTTGGTCTTTGCCACTGCTGACACTGCTGGACTCGCCCACGTGAAGTCCGAGCTGCAGAAGAGACACACGTGCACAGACCTGGGTGAACTTCGCAACTACCTTGGCTTGCAGATCACCCGGGACAGAGCACGCCGCACCATTACCCTGACTCAGTCACACATGGTGCAGCAGGTCCTTCAGCGCTTCGGCTTCACGTACTCCTCGCCTCAGGCCACTCCTCTGCCTACTCGCCACTCGCTCTCAGCTCTGCCTTCGGATGAGTCCGTAGAGTCGAGTGGCCCGTACCCAGAGCTTGTTGGCTGCCTCATGTACCTGATGACCTGCACACGACCTGACCTTGCATACCCTCTTAGCATTCTCGCACGCTATGTTGCTCTTGGGAGACAAAGACCGGAGCACATGGCTGCAGCGAAGAGGGTGTTGCGCTACTTGTGCAGTACGTCGGGCATGGGGTGCTTGGAGGGCAGAGTCCAGTGGTCCTCACTGGGCACGCAGACGCTTCTTGGGCTGACGACCAGGCTAGGCAGCGGTCGTCACAGGGTTACACCTTCAGCCTTGGTTCCGGCTCTGTTTCGTGGCGGGCTACCCGCTCGTCTTCTGTTCTCGGCTCCAGTTGTGAGGCTGAGATCTACGCAGGGGCCATGGCTGCACAGGAGCTTCGCTGGCTCACCTACCTGATGTCTGACCTCGGAGAGCCGCCTCGTTCTCCTCCAGTACTCTACGTAGACAACAAGGCCATGCTGGCCTTGTGTCGGGAGCAAAGACTGGAGCACAGAACGAAGCACATTGCTCTTCGCTACTTCCTTGCTCGTGAGCTACAGCAGCGTGGTCAGCTGCGCCTTGCGTACGTGGCCTCTCAGGCCAACACTGCTGATATCTTCACTAAGGCACTTGCGCCTTGTGATCATCAGCGCTTCTGTACTCAGCTCGGTCTTGTGCCTACCTTGCCTCACTTGCTCACCCCTTGACCTTGTTTGTACTGTTACATATATATATATATATATATATATATATATATATATATATATACGCCTGCTCTTGCTTGTTTAGCCTTAAATATATATGTAATCCTGCATGTGAACTGGCCTTGTGGCCTTGAACTTGTGCTCGGAATGTGTGGTGATGTTGTGATCCACCCTGAGCTTGCTTTGCTTTGCTTGACTGGTCTTGTGACCCCTTGTCCTCCCCCACTTTGCCTATGGGGGTGTGTCAGATTTATATGACTTAGCTGCTGTAGGCTATAGTGGGGTAGCACATATGGGGTACAGCTTTCTAGGGTTTGTACTTGTACCCAGCTTTCCCTTAGTCTTTTCATTCTCGTTCAATTTCACAACCTCACCAAGCACATGACCACCGAATAGAATTAGAAGCGGGGGCACAGCCAACTGTACAGCGCCAGTTCAGATTGACACAACCCGAGCTCGGCGAACTGAGGAAGCAGTTAGATTACGTATAAGAGAAGAAATTCATCCGACCGAGCTCGTCACCGTTCGCCGCACCGATACTGTTCACTCCAAAAAAAGACGGAGGGTTCCGCATGTGCATCGATTACCGAGCGCTCAAAAGGTTAACAGTCAAGTCGCGGTACCCCATTCCCCGCGCCGACGAACTGATCGACCAACTGCGAACAGCACGTGTTTTTTTCGAAAATAGATTTACGGGGAGGTTACCATCAGTTTAGGGTCGAACCATTGGACTCCGCCAAAACAGCTTTCCGGACTAGGTACGGGTTATTCGAGTACACCGTGATGCCTTTCTAACTGACCAACGCACCAGCGACATTTCAGATGATCATGAACGAGGCGTTTAGGCCACTTTTAGATAAATGCGTGAGAGTTTACCTCGACGACATCCTCATCTACAGTCGCGACAAGCAGCAGCACTTAGCAGATCTGGAATCAGTGTTTAAGATTGTAGACAAGCATCGGTTACCGACAAAGGGTTCCAAGTGCGAGTTCTTTCAGGACTGGCTAGAGTTTTTGGGGAACGTTATTTCGGAGGCAGGGGTCGAAATTGACCCAAAGAAGTTAGACACGGTGAAAGCCTGGCACCCCCCGACGAATATCACGGAACTACAGAGTTTTTTGGGGTTCGTCAATTACGTGCGTCGGTTCGTCCCCGACATGGCACGGTTAACAGCGCCACTGACGGACTTGTTACGGAAGGTGGTCGCTTTTGCGTGGGGGGAGAAAGAGCATGCTGCCTTCTCTGCCCTGAAAAATGTTATCTGTTTACTGCCCGTCCTGCGCATCGCCGACCCACACCGCCCATTCGAAGTAGTTACCGACGCAAGCGACATCGCCATCGGAGCCGTACTGCTACAGGACTTTGGCAACGACCTACAGCCCATCGCTTACGAATCACGAAAACTGCATCCGCCCGAGAAAAATTACCCGATACACGACCGCGAAATGTTTGCGATCGTGCACGCGTTCAAAGCGTGGCGCTGTTACTTGACCGGCGCATACGTGACAGTACGGACAGACCATAAATCACTACAGTACCTCTGCGCACAGCCACACCTCAACCCACGACAGATTCGCTGGCTCGGTTTTCTTGAGTCCAATTTTTACTACACGATCACCTACAAAAAGGGAGCCTCGAACATCGCCGACGCACTAACCCGCCCCACTGCCCAGATTCATACGATACTACTTGATAAAACTGAAACGAGAATGGGTGCACTAAGGAATGGAATGTGGTACAAATATGTAACCCTAGAAATGTGTACCCCATATAGGCTACCCCACTACAGCCTACTGAACATTAAGATTTGACACACCCCCATAGGCAAAGTGGGGGAGAACAAGGGGTCACAAGACCAGTCAAGCAAAACAAAGCAAAACTCAGGGTGGATCACAAAGTCACCACACATTACGAGCACAAGTTCAAGGCTAGAAGGCCAGTTCACATGCAGGAGCACATACATATATAAAAGGCTAAACAAGCAAGAGCAGGAGTATATATATGTGACAGTACAAGCAAGGTCAAGAAGTGAGCAAGTGAGGCAAGGCAGGCACAAGACCAAGCTGAGTACAGAAGCGCTGATGATCACAAGGCGCAAGTGCCTTAGTGAAGATATCAGCAGTGTTGGCCTCAGAGGCCACGTACGCAAGTCGCAACTGACCACGCTGCTGCAGCTCACGAGCAAGAAAGTAGCGGAGAGCAATGTGCTTCGTTCTGTGCTCCAGGCGCTGCTCCCGTCACAAGGCCAGCATGGCCTTGTTGTCTACGTACAGCACTGGAGGAGAACGAGGCGGCTCTCCAAGGTCAGTCAGAAGGTAGGTGAGCCAGCGAAGCTCCTGAGCAGCCATGGCTCCTGCGTAGATCTCAGCCTCACAACTCGAGCCGAGAACGGAAGACGAGCGAGTAGCCCGCCACGAAACAGAGCCAGAACCAAGGCTGAAGGTGTAACCCTGTGACGACCGCTGTGTAGCCTGGTCGTCAGCCCAAGAAGCGTCTGCGTGCCCAGTGAGGACCAGTGGACTCTTCCCTCCAAGCACTAGCCCCATGCCCGACGTACTGCACAAGTAGCGCAACACCCTCTTCGCTGCAGCCATGTGCTCCGGTCTGTGTCTCACAGGAGCAACATAGCATGCAAGAATGCTAAGAGGGTATGCAAGGTCAGGTCGTGTGCAGGTCATCAGGTACATGAGGCAGCCAACAAGCTATGGGTACGGGCCACTCGACTCTACGGACTCATTTTAAGGCAGAGCTGAGAGCGAGTGGCGAGTAGGCAGAGGAGTGGCCTGAGGCGAGGAGTACGTGAAGCCGAAGCGCTGAAGGACCTGCTGCACCATGTGTGACTGAGTCAGGGTAATGGTGCGGCGTGCTCTGTCCCGGGTGATTTGCAAGCCAAGGTAGCTGCGCTGTTCACCCAGGTCTGTGCACGTGTGTCTCTTCTGCAGCTCGGACTTCACGTGGGCGAGTCCAGCAGTGTCAGCAGTGGCAAAGACCAAGTCGTCGACGTACACGAGGATGTAGAACGGCGGCAAAGAGGTGTCGGTGCGCAGAAACAGCGACGGGTCGGCAATAGAGGGAGCAAACCCAAGAGCCGCAAGCGTAGTCCTCAATGTGTCGTGCCACTCACGTGGTGCCTGGCGGAGACCGTAGACTGGCCGCCGGAGGCTCCACTGGGTGCCAGGAGGGAAAGTCCCAGTAAAGCCAGGTGGGCGGCGCAGCCAGATCTCCTCGTGCAGGCTGCCCTGCAAGGAAGCAGTGCTAAAGTGAAGAGAGTGAAGCTCGTAGTCGCGCTGAGCGGCTATGTGTAGCAGCACCCGAAGAGTGGTCATCTTTGGGGTGGGAGAGAAGGTCTGAAAGTAGTCAACTCCCTGCCGCTGACTGAAGCCACGAGCCACGTACCGCGCCTTGAAGACAGGTGGAGAACCTGGCGGCCGCTTCACCATTAAGATCCACATGCCACTGACGATGTTCGCCCTAGGTGGGGGAACCGCGTCAACGTAGGTGCCTATGGACTTCCAGGAAGCCATCTCTGCATCCATAGCTGCCTGCCACTGAGAGGAGTAGGGACCCTCTACGGCCTCCGCGTAAGAGCGCGGAGTCGGGATGTCAAGTGCATCCGGGTCTCCCTCAGGGGTAAGCAGTACGGACACGAGATGAGGTGAAGAAGCAGCCAGACACTGGAACTCGTCCTGCCTGTCCTCAAGGACGTCCGTGCCAAGGGCACACTCACCCCCGACGGACGGAGGACAGACAGATGCAGACTCAGCAACAAGACTAGCAGCGTAGTCTAGACGACAGCGAGCAGCAAAGTCGACAAGCTCAGCAACTAGAGCAGACGCAGAAGTGGACTCAAAGGAGGGGTTTGTGACGACAGTAGCAAGGAGACGCGTGACAGTAGGATTGGCAGCACAAAGAGAGTCCGACTCAGGGTCGGCAAGGGCAAGAAGAGAGGACGCAGGAGGAGAAGGCAAAGGGATACGCAGAGGAGCAGTGGACGGACGCAGAGACATCCGGTGCGTGCCAGGGACAGGAGGAGGACGCTGACGCGAACCGCGACCACTAGTGCGAGCAGCACGGACAGGCAACGCAGGGCGAGACGCAGGCTCACGACGCTCAGCAAGACCTCCAGTAGGACCAGTGTAGGGAGACGGAGCAGGGAGTGGGGAGGCCGGCAGTAACTGTAGCTGTTACGGGTCAGGCATTGGACACTCTAAGGGAGGAGGAGGACTAGTAGAAGGCGGGAGACCAAGAAACTGCTGAAGGAGCGGAACGAAGTACGGCCGAGGCCGCGCGGCGACTCCAGACACAGCAGGGACAGCACCAGCACCCCTAGCGCCAGCACCAGTGCCAAGAGCACCTCCAGCTACTGTACCTCCAGCAGCACCAGCAGCACCCGCAGCAGGACCGCCGCCAGGACTGACAGCAGTAGCCTCAGCGCCAACACCCTCAGCAGCTCCAGCTCCAGTCGTACCCGCAGGCCCAGCAGCTCCAGCACTCCCAGTACGAGCACCTCCGGGACCGGCAGCACCAGCACCCTCAGCAGCCGAAGAAGCTCCAGCTCCAGCAGAAGGCCTCCAGAGCCGGGCAAACCACTCGCACAGCTCGTGTGAAGAGAGTGGCTCCCGCCGAGACGAAGCACCCGGAGGACCTCCAGGCCCAGCACCGCCAGACGCCACACGAGCAGGCCCAGCGGCCGCCGGCTCCGCACCCCCAGGCTCAGCAGCTCCAGACGTGGCACCCCCAGGCTCAGCACCCCCAGGCTCACCACCCCCAGGCGTAGCACCCCTAGGCTCAGCACCCCCAGTCTCAGCACCCCCAAGCTCAGCACCCCCAGTAGTACCACCCGAAGGCCCAGCACCCCCAGGCGTAGTACCCACACGCTCAGCACCCCCAGAGTCAGCACCCCCAGGCTCAGCACCCGCAGCAGCACCAGAGTCACCAGTAACCTCGACACGCTCGACTGCGTCTACCTGGGACACACTTGAAGGGGCAGGACCCTGAGGGGGGAGGGGGTCTACCGGGGGGGGGCCTGGCACAAGGAAGAGCGGTGGCGGGGGGAGGGAAGGAGTGCGGTAGGGGAAGAGGCGGTAGTAGGGGACCGACTCGTCAAACGTGACGTCCTGGGAGGACAGAACACGACGAGAGGTGGGGTGGTAGAACTGCCACCCTGGCGCGTCAGGGGGGAAGCCAAGGAAGACGCAAGGAGCAGCACGAGGGGACAGCTTGTCCGCAGACAAGTCGCGGACAAACGCCCGAGATCCCCAGACACGGAACGCAGATGCATCGCCTACCTTCCCCGTCCACAGCAAAGCTGGGGAGGTCTCCGGCATGGAGACCCTGGGGTGAAGGTTGATCTGATGCGCCGCGTACCGGACCGCAAACGGCCACAGAAAATGGGGGGCAGCCGCATGCATCATGGACGTACGGGCGACGTCCATGACCTCGCCAATGCGGCGCTCAGCAATCCCATTTTGTTTTGGAGAGTCCGGAAGCGTAAAGGTCTGGCGGATGCCTCGCGCACGACAGTAGGCTCGCAGAAGGCTAGAGGAAAACTCTCCGCCTCGGTCAGAGTGCAGACGCAGAACAGGAAAGTTCGAGCCGAAGCTCCTCCTGAGCTGGAGACGAGCTGCGCTGATCCAGTCGATCAACACCTCAGTGATTTCACCCAGTCGGACGCGGGCCGGGCCCCACACGTCCATGTGAAGCGTCTGCAGCGGGGCCTATGTCGGGGGAAACTGAGAGGAGTGAGGGGCAGCCCGCAGCCGCCCCTCGACACAGGGGACGCAAGTAGGGCCAGGCCCCGCAGGAAGGGGAGGGAGGGACCGGGGAAGACCAGAGACAAGGACACGGGAGGCCATGCCTCAGAGACGAGGCAGGGAGGGGTGACCAAGGCGGTGGTGCCACAGGAGAGTCTCGTGAGATAGGAGGCGACACGAGCAAGGGGTAGACTCAGGACCAGACCTGGACGCTGCAGCGAACACCTGACCCGACGCAGGGACAGGAGGAGACTCAGTGGTCAGGGTGTACAGGCTCGACCCCGGCCGACGCGTAAACGTGGCCAGGTGCCGGCCTGTGCGAGCGTCCGAGCAGTGGGTCACCCGCTGACTCGCATGAGTAAACTGGTGAACCCCCGCATCCTGTAGGTCAGCACCACTCACTAGGTTCGTAGAGAACGAGGGGAGGTAAAGACCAGACAAGGTGCCAGAGGGAGCCGCCGGACACGGGAGGACAGTGGAGAAGTAAGCAAGGACAGAACCCCCAGAGGGGTCTGCCAGAGAGACTGCAACTGGCCGACCAAGCGGCGTGAGTGTGGTGCGGTCTCGAAAGAAGGAGCGAGAAGCCCCCGAGTCAAGGGTGAAGGTGAGGGAGGCCGAAGCCGACGCGGTACCTGAGAGCGCAGACTCACCAGCACCTGAGGAAGCAGACGTACTGGCCCCTAGAGCAGCAGCCTCGCTAGCACCTAGAGCAGTAGCCTCACCAGTACCTAGAGCAGCAGTCTGAATGCACGGGTCGGGCGGGAAACACCGGTAACAGTCACCCTCATCACTAATAGTCATAGCATACATGGCAGCAAGAATAGCATCAAAGTCAAGAACAAAGATAGCTACAGCCGCCCTAGACAGCTCACCCCAGCGGGGGATCTCAGTGGCCTCCGGGAACTGGTGACGTCAAGCGTCCGTCAGGTGGCCAAAGCAGCGCTGGGTGGGGTGTGCACCCCCACACTGCTCACCCGCGCGGTCGCCGGTGCGTAGGACGTAGGTGCACGGATCGGTACCCCCACCACGCTAACGTGCAGCGTACCACTGACGGAGCTGCTGAGGGGGGGGGATGTCCCGAGAACGCTGCTGCTGCTGCTGCTGCTGGCGATGACCACCACCGGACCCGCCCCGCTGTGTAGCGCCACCCCGACCAGCTCCACCTCCTCCACCACCGCCTCCTCCACCTCCGCCACCACCGCCGCCTCCGCTCCCACCACTACCGCCTCCGCCGCCTCCGCCTCCACTGCCGCCACCGACACCTCCACCCCCGCCACCACTCCCACCGCCACCCCCACTCCCTCCGCCGCCTCCACCGCCGCCTCCACCACCCCCGCTAGCTCCTCCAACGCCCCTGCCCCCCTTGCCCTTGCCAGTGCGGCGTCTCCCGCTGGGGGTAGACGCCGCACCGACCGACTCAAGACCAACGAGGTCGATCGCAGTAGCAGAGGCGATAGAGGGCAAAAGGGGGGAGGGGGAACACCCCTCAAAGATGGGGGTGCGAGGGTCACCACGAGAGGCTCCTACAGCGACTATGCTCTTCTCCGCTGCTAAGAGGGCCTTCTCGAGGAGGTCAATAGTCAGAGTGGTGGGACAGACTGAGAGGAAGTGGTCTCTGACTACACGAAGGGAGTCAGGGAGGCGGGTGACTATGTAGTAGAGATTGATGTACATGGGGGGGGGGTTCCTGGCGCAGAACTCAGCAGGAAGCGCAGCGCGGTAGCGAGTGTCACTAGTGCGGAGGTGCGTAATGAGGTCAGCAACTGTGGGAAAGGCAGCAAGGTCAGGGAAGAGGTACAGTAGCATGAGGCGGCTCAGTGCAGCAGTGGCAGGGGAAGAGTAGCGCGCAACTACAGCGTCGTACAAGGTATGAGCACTCTTGTACTGACTAAAGTGCGCGCGCTCAGTGGTAGGCAGGTGGCGATGCACAGCAAGACGTGCAGCAGCATCGCGAGTGGCCCATTGTGAGCGAACAGTGGCATCGGCATCGGCAGCAGGGGCAGGGGAAGCACAAGAGGTGAGGTCAAAGAGGGAGAGACCGTCTGCCCTATCGCACTGTAGGAAAAGCTGCAGGTCATCTACCCAGACGTCAAAGTCAATGGCCCAACCCTCAGCGTCAAAAGTGAGAATACTGGGGGTAGCCATGACAGCAGTAGACTAGCAGCGCTAACTGTAGAGCAGGGGCAGTGCAGTGACAGAGGCGCTGCTCTCACCAGACAGGGCGTTTCGGGCAGCTCGGGCGGCTCGGCAGCAACTGCGGCTCGGCGGCACCCGCGGCTCGGCTCCTCAGCTGCTCAGGCGGCTCGGGCGGCTCGGGCGGCTCGGGTGGCTCGGGCGGCTCGGGCGGCTCGGGCGGAACGGGCGGCTCGGGCTGCTTAGCGGCGCGGGCGGCTCGGCTGCGTAGGCGGCTCGGGCGGTAGGGGACGAGGCCTGGACCGCAGGTAGTGCGCCGGGGCCGCAGGTAGGGCGGCGGGGCCGTTGGTAGGGCGGCGGGGCCGCAGGTGGGGCGGCGGGGCCGCAGGTAGGGCGGCGGGGCCTCAGGTAGGGCGGCTGGGCCGCAGGTAGGGCGGATGGGCCGCAGGTAGGGCGGCTGGGCCGCAGGTAGGGCGGCTGGGCCGCAGGTAGGGCGGCGGGGCGGGGCCGTAGGTAGGGCGAGGGGGCCGGGTCGAAGGTAGGGGGATGGGGCCGGTACGCAGGTAGGGCAACGGGGCCGGGGCCGGGGCGCAGGTAGGGCGACGGGGCCGGGGCCGGGGCGCAGGTAGGGGGAAGGGGCCGGGGTCGGAGGTGGGGCGACGGGGCCGGGGTCGCAAGCAGGGCGACGGGGCCGGGGCCGGGGCGCAGGTAGGGCGACGGGGCTAGGGCCGGGGCCGTAGGTATGGCGACGGGGCCAGGGTCGCAGGTGGGGCGTCGGGGCCGGGGTCGCAGGTAGGGCGACGGGGCCGGGGCGCAAGTAGGGCGACGGGGCCGGGGCGCAGGTAGGGCGACGGGGCCGGGGCGCAGGTAGGGCGACGGGGCCGAGGCGCAGGTAAGGCGACGGGGCCGGGGTCGTAGGTAGGGCGACGGGGTCGCTAGGGCGACGAATCAGGGGCCGCTAAGGCGGCGCGACTTGGCCGCTAGGGCGGCTCGACGAAGATAGAGAGGGGAGCGCGACTCGGGCTGAGCGCGCTCCGGGCAGGAAAAAAAAAACTTTCGACTTGGTGGGCCCTAGGCACAGTTTCCACGAGGGAACCTGCTCGATACCATGATAAAACTGAAACGAGAATGGGTGCACTAAGGAATGGAATGTGGTACAAATATGCAACCCTAGAAATGTGTACCCCATATAGGCTACCCCACTACAGCCTACAGAACATTATGATTTGACACTACTCGCCCAGGCCGGCCCCCTACTGATAGGCCTATTTACCCACGGGTACCAAACGGATCCATTCTTCACAGGAGGAAATTCGCAGCAGTTCGCAGCAGCAAGGGGAGTCTATTACGTAAAAGCCGGGACCGACCGCATCTGGGTGCCCGGGTATACACTGCTACGGGAATTACTGTTACAGGAGGCACACGACGGGGTTACCTTGGGGCATTTCGGGGTAGAGAAAACACGGCAGCAGCTGCAGCGGAATTATTACTGGCCCAAGATTTTGACCGATGTACAACGATACGTGGCATCGTGTCCCACTTGCCAGCTCAAGAAATCAGAACGGCGGCGGCCGGCAGGACAGTTGCAACCGATATCACCCCGAGAGCGTGCTTGGGAGCAGGTGACGATGGACTTCGTCACTGGGTTACCGGCCGGGGCGAGTGGGAACGACGCGATCCTGGTCGTCGTCGATCGACTGACGAAAATGGCACACTTCGCAGCCTGCAAAAAATCGATCACAGCCGAAGAAACAGCTCGACTCTTCATCTCCACCGTCGTTTGACTGCACGGGATACCATCAGCGATCATCAGCGATCGCGACACGAAATTCACCACCAACTTCTGGCGGAACCTGTGGCAGCAGTTCGGCACGCGACTACAGTTCAGTTCTTCGTACCACCCCGAAACCGACGGACAGACAGAACGGAAAAACCAGACTATGGAGCAACTCATCCGAGCCACGTGCGACGACCCAACCACCTGGGAACAACAGCTGCCACTCATTGAGTTCGCATACAACAACTCACCATCCGCCACGACCCAACAGTCACCGTTTTACCTGAATTACGGACAAGTGTGAAATTGAACGAGAATGAAGGAGAGGAGGGGTTTCACTAGCAGCAATGAGGATACATATAGCAAACCCCAGATGGGTTGTACTCGCTATAGAGCACCCCACTACAGGCTAGAGAATAACATTCTGACACACCCCCATAGCCAAAGTGGGGTGTAATCAGCACAATGAGCAAGCAGGCATAGAGCAGGAGTTCACAATAGGTAAGTAAGGCTAGAGCTAATCACAGAGGGCAAGTGAGGAGGAGGAGAGACTGTGGGGGAGAGAAGATGGGAGGCGACTGCTGACGCTGCAGACACACAGACGAGCTGCTGGCTCAGTGGCTACGGAAGCAAAGGCCCGGACTACAGGAGTAACTGGCTCCACGGCTAAAAGTAGCGGCAGACGAGCAACTGACCCACAGGCGACTGGCGACTACCGGAGATTGTAGCCACCGGACTGCTGGTGCTGCTGACGACAAGACTGCTGCCTCCA